GAATGGCTTCTTGTTGGATCCTGCCGGGAGATCGATCTCACATCGTTGTAGTCAGGTGGTCTGCACAAGCATGACCAATGATCCCAATGACCAAGGACTCACATCTACTCTCCTGGTTGGCTTCGTCCACTTCATAAGCTTCACCGCTTGGCAAAGCTCCTGGGCAAAGGAGCTGCCTGCGCCCAGGAAACGCTTTTGTCCGATCCCTGCCTCGCAGACTCCCAGGGATTCGAAGCTTGCCTGCAATGCTGCCATGCATCATTTGTGGATTTGACCATTCCACGACACGTCGACATACGCATGCTCTTGTTTGCCTCATCTGCCACTTCGACATCTGCGTTGTTCACAGCATCTTTAGGCAGCTGCGGCTGCTTGACCTTTTCGCAAGAAAACTGCACACGTGATTCGAGCCGCAGGGAAGGACGGGGAAAGCTCCCGCTCTCTTTCACAAGCCATCCCACTTTTTGAGCTGCTGAAGCTGCGTGGCACAAGCTTGGTCGACCACTCCCTGAGCAGATGTGGTCGCAAGCAGATGAGGGCGGGGAGGGCTTTACAGATGGCAGAGCCGTGGTCTGCAAAGCTGTCACATCCACCGAGAGCCGATGTTCCTTTGGCGCTGCATCAAATCTGGTCGGTCTCGTAGCAAGCTGCATCGGGCCAGGTAGCTGCCACGGCATTCATGAACTTTGCAGGCTGCAGAGTCACGGGTGTGCCGCACGGCGAAGAGAGAGAGCTTCGTTCATTTCCCGGCCTTACATCAAGAACATTGACGAGAGCGTGCAAGTATGTGCAAGTGCTACTCAGATGCTTTAGTTTTGCTGAGGCTCTGAAAAGGCCTTACCCACCGCGAGGACTTTGTCGGGTGTTACTCCGGCTTGTTGTGCCTTGGCGGTCACTGCCAACAGCATCCAACAAACTGCCACCATCTCGTGAATTCTGCCCTGCTGCATATCTTGCGCCATCGACAACATGGTGTGGTCGGAGACCTGCCTGATGGGCCATCTGCGCCCCCTGCACGACGTGTTGCGGCCTGACACCGGCCTGATGTGCCATTCGCACACCATCCATCGCTTGCCTCATCCATCGTCTACGAACCCACGACAAGGGATTCAAGCAGCCCTGAAAGGAGCTCTAGCCAAATCAGTCGGGTTGCTGCGATGTGACCCCCGACTTTTGCGCAAACTGAGCGCCTGCCATCATGTCCTGTGCGCTCATGCCCGACTCCTTGGCGAATCTGGCGCCTGCCACGACGTCCTGAGGAGCCAGGGAGGACGCATCGTGGCCTTGCCTTTGCTGGTCCGGCAAAGGCGCCCTCGAGGCCGGCCGGACTGACTGGAAGGCATCGAGGTCACCCGGGCCCGGCCAGCCTGTCCCTCCACCCGCAACCGTCTCTTCCTTCTCTTTCCGGAAGGGATTCGAGGCCGAGGTGGGCCGTGCAGAGCTCGGAAAAGCTGGGAAGGCGTCTGGAAAGCCCTGTACCGGTGCCGGGTAGGCTTCACCGCGCTGCGGCATCGCCCAGTCTGTTCCAGCAGGAGCAGGAGGACTGGATTTCTTGAACGGGTTGTTCTTTCCGGCGGATCCCGGTGCTGCCTGCGTGGGCCGAGCCCAATCAACTCTGGAGGCTTCTTCTCTCGGAAAGTCACCGAATCCACCAGGATTAGAGGGTGCTGGCCAGCCAGTGCCTTGCGGGCCTGCCGGCCAGCTTGGCTGGGCAGGGGGTGATTCGTCTGGCTCGGGCTCGCCTGGCATGTACTTCGGCTGCAGCTGTGACAGCAGATCCATGGCACCCGCGTCTTCGAGGATCTCGGCCCGCGCGTCCCCTTGCAAGTTTGCTCACGAGGCTTTCGATGGTCAAGCGATACTACTTCCGAGGACGAGGCTTTCCCAGAAGTAGCTTGATATGACTAGGAGCTCTTGTTGGAAGTATAAAACTCTCGCAGCATCCCAGCCTGCGGATGACTTCCCTGGAATAATATAGGCGGTATCGGCAAATATGGAGTCTACATTTACTACAAGTAGGACTCCGTCTCGATTCGTGCAGAACATGCCGGCAGCTCTCTCGCAACTGCCTTTTCTCCATGTCCACCAGAAGCAACGTCAAGCTTGATCTTACTGTGAGAGAAGACACTAGACTGGTCTCTCCCCTTATGGCCTGGAAGCCATGATGCCTTGGATATACCTATATATATATATATATATGTGAACATATATATATATATATATATATATATATATGTACGTGTATATGTGTGTATATACATACACATATTTATACATACATATATATATATATATATATATATATATATATATATATGGATTTATACACATATATATATATATATATGTGTATATCTATCTATCTATTTATCTATCTATCTATCTATATATATATATACATATATATATATATATTTCGATTTGGGAAGCGCAGGTTCGAGATGCTGCCGAGCAGCCGGGCAGAGCACGCAAGGCATCCTGGACCTTCCTGGATCCAAAGAGAGCCATCGACCAGTTGTAGGAGGAGCCAAGCGTACGAACGCACTCCTGGAGCTGCTTCCTCTTGTTCACATGCCGCCGCCGCACCTCGAAAAGGAAGAGCCAGGCCGCCTCAATCTGCGCATTGTTGTAGATGGGAGCCTCCAAGAAACCCTCTTCGGCCACCTCCCTACAGCCTTTCACCAACATGGAGAAGGTGGTGTCGAAGTCATCCGCCTTTTCCTCAGCTCGTGTGCGGCCGCCCGTTTCTTTCCCAAACACCCGTTGCTCTCGTTGATGCTCCCACTTCGAACTACTTCGATGAAGCAGGATCTGATCCACGTCATCTGGGTAGCATAAACTTCATCAGCAAGAGCTGTTGAAAAATGCCGGAGACCGAACCGGGAGGACATCACTACGCCTGCAAGCCTCGACCTTGCGAGCAAGCTAACGAAGGATGCCTCTTCACAACTTCATCACGGAAGATTCCCAAAAGGCCACTCTTGAGTCTTGAGGTCACGTTCCTGGTTCAATTGTGCATGTGAGGCTCAGTTTTGCATGCTCGAAGAAGAGCACTGCGTCTAGATCTTAGGCGCGTCTGGGAGTGTCTTGATTCGTATCTCTTTCTATGCCGTCTGTCCTTCTTCTAAATCTCTGTCATGGAACCTTGTAACTGCCGCCCTCGACGCGCTGCAGCGCCTGCAGCAGGCGGGCGGAGCGCTGGCGGATAGCCACCTGGGTGCGAGATTGTGCAGTACTGAGCCTGAACCTTCCTGGTACTCTGTAGCATATTACCGTATAGTGCAGTCTATTATGGTACATTATAGTACATTGTAGGAACCTGTAGTATATCATGATATATTATACTATGTTGTAATATAAACTGTAGTATATTATACTTCTAGTATGTTATAGTAGGTCAGAAAAGCCTCAGATTCCTGCCAGGGCCCAGTGACTTTACAAACTCACAAAGACTATAGGGCCTTTTAGGGTCTCTGGGAGTCGCGACCCTGAACCCTAAACCCTTTAAACCCTTGAACCCTTAAACCTTGAACCCTAGACTCTCGACCCTTAAATCCTTAAACCTTAAGCCCTAAACCCTAAAGGAATGCGTCTGCAGGGATTGCCGGGAGGTTCCACGCAGCTGCTCATAGCCACTGAAGCTGCTTCGGAGTGGTATAATATGCTGCCCTGATATGCTTAAACAGCGTAACATACTGTAAGACACTATAACATACTACAAGATAGTTGACTCGAAGATACTACCACTTACAATAATCTATGACATAATGTAACATACTACAATATTCTGTAGTTACTACCATATACGACTATACACTATAATTATGCAAGAAAAACATTACACTCTACTACATAGTACCATACCATATGCTATCCAATCAGGCCACGTCCCGCTCGGTTAGGGGCAGCGGCCACGGCTTGGCGAAGTGGTTCTCAGCGTCGACCATGGCGCGGCAAGCCGTGGCTTGATGATCGGCCGATCTGGCCACCCGTGCCAGGGCAACAACCGAAAATGCTTGAAGTCACAGAGTTGCTGTGCCTTGAAGAGCGGGAAAAACTGACTGCTTGCATAGAGGTATCGGCTCAAAGCTTTGAAGGCTCTCTGAAAAACTCAGACCCCTCTTTTAAATCAACTGCTTGGAAAGCCTGACGGCAGACATGCACCAAGTCGTATGTAGAGATGACAATGCAGTGTGCACACGAACTGGGCTGCATGCCGCCTCTTTTGCTTTCTCCACGACCTGGTCTCAGAGTCTCTCGACCCAGGACTGCAGCCGGTGTTTCCGCGGGGAGGTTCGCGCCTCCGACTTCACCACCTTAGCTTTCCGCTTCATCTTGGCCTTCGCCTTCTTCAGGACCTTGCGAGGCTCCAAACTCGGATTCTCGGGTACTCACGAACTGCACGGAAGCTTTGGGCCCCGGACCATGGCTGTGGGGCTGGATCAGAGCACGAATGGTGTCAGAGAATGTCTCTCGTATTTCTGGTCGAGTGCCATGGCTTGAATTGCTTGCAAGCCTTCGGAGAGTGACATGAAGCTCGCTTGAGACACAGCCGATGCACAGGAGTGCTGGAGCGTGGCGAAGCGACTCAAGAAAAAGCGAAAACCGCGCGCGGCCAAACTCGCTTGCCTAAATCAAGCTATCAGCTGACTTGGGACAGTGAAGCCAAGTGCAGTCATAAGCCTTCTCAGATCCAAGCATGCAGACCGTCGCGTGCATTTCGCAGTGTGTGCATGCGGCTCTTCGCAATCACAGCAGGAGTGAAACGGAATTCTTGAGTGAACATGAGTGTACGCTCTTGTCTAATTGCTTTTGCATTGCAGCAGGGTGGTCCATGAAATGGCGGTATGACATTAGACTGCATCAAGTGCTATGAAAACCATCTATGACGACATAATATGCGGACTGTTGATGCTGCAGCTGGCTTCCAAGCAGTGTGCAAGAGCCGAAGTAAATTGCCCGCAGTTTTGCAGGCCAGGCTCGGAGCATGCGCGAAGATGTCAGCGCCTGCAAGAGGAGAGAAGTTCGCAGCCCTTCTACTGCTAGCACAACGACTCCACAAGCCTGACAACGGTGTTGCCAGCATGGTGCGCTGCCTCCACGTACACCTTGGAAGCACAGCTAGCTTCCTCCGCTCAAGTCGGGCATTGAAGCACCCGTTACAGTAAATTTGCCCCGCGTGCTCCCACAAAAAGTTCACGACTATTACAGCCTTGAAACAGTGATGCTCAAGCCCAGCAACATCGTGCAACAGTTCAAGAGCAGAACGTACAACGATAAATCCTTCATGGCGACTGGAACTGTGGCAAGGACAGTCTTGTCTGCTGCACGCTTGACTGGCACGTGGTTCAGATTCACCTGGAAAGCTCTGGCGTCACAGACGCCACGGCGATGACTGCAAAAGTTGCGACATGTTCACACACCAAGCATGATAAGCCAGTGCCAGAATTGAGAGTTTGAGGTTTGCAAGCTGCGAAGCCCACCTTGCCATTCACCACCAGCAGAGGATTTGGTGCCGACAGCACATCCTGCCGTAGACGAGGCATCAGGCCCAAGCAAACAGTACAGGATGGGCAAACACTCAGTGCCGATCATGGACATGCTGGTTTTTCTTAGCATGTTGAAATTCTGCATAGACCTAGCAAAGTCTGCACCCGGGCCTCATTCACACTTACTCCGTCGAGGAACTGCTTCAGGATGGAACGCAACCTGAGGGGAAAGCAGCCTCGTTCTCTCTAACTTTTCAAGGAATGAAACACTTCTTCCAGATACAGGGATCATAACGAGTCTGCGATTGCAAGAAGACTCGAGCATCAAAAATCCCAGCAGCTGTACATTCTCCTTTGTGAGGCGCTTTCCCTCCTGCGGACAGTAGAACTCCCACACCAATGGGCTGAGGCCTGCCTACACTAATCTTGACCACATGCACTTCTTGATACACACATGTCACATCTTCAAGATTATTGTGCTTCCCTTTCTCCAACATCCATCTCGACACACATGCGAGCAGCTTGACTAAAGATCGATCCTCAATGATGACGTGTTTCCGCCTGAGTCTTGTGGCCGCGATGCGGTCAGCTGTCGGAAGAGGATAGGAAACCAAAACACTGTCGTGACAACTGATGCTTCGGCGAACGGTCCTGTTCAACTGCATGGAAGTCTAGCTTCACCTGCACAACAGCACGGAGATTAACAGAAAAAGTGGAGAAGAACTGAACTTGATTTTGGACATGACGACTGGCCTTGTTGTAACGCTTAAAGAAATTGTCCAAGTAGGTCCACTCATCGATGCCAACGTCTGTAAGCTCTTTTCGGATTTCCTCTTTGAGGTCCTGCACACACGTTCGAGCAGCCTCTCGTTTCTCTTGAAGGAGCGGGCGAAAAGCGAAGCGGTGTCCTCATCTCCAAATTCGAGCTCACCTTCCTCAAACTCTTGGAGGATGTCACGCGACAGATAAAACGGGAGCACCTCCGAGGAAGACGGTTGGGCGCAGCCTTTTGGCACATGCAACAGCCACTCCCGACGTAAAGAGATTTAATCTTGGCCATAAGTATTTGCGTTTTTCACAGTAGGCTGAGTGGCCTTCTCCCGCTCTGTCTCGAACTTCCTTCAGATGGGTGCAGAAGTCTCGCACGGATCGTCTTGCTTCGTCTGGTAACGTTCACAACCAGCACACGAGCTCCTGCAAAGCTCTGCAGTCTTCAAGATCCTCTCGGCAAGACCCAGCTGGTCTTTCAAGGACTTGATGCAGTTCCTTCGGCAGTAGTTCAGGCGGGAACAATTCAATCCAGCCCCCCGGAGCAAGCGACTGTTAAACAGGTCCTTTTTGGGTTACGTAGGCTAAAGCCTTTGGTGCTGGATTGATGGGTTTACGTGGTGAGAACCCAATGCCCAGTCCCAAAACCCTCCAGATGTTCGAACCCATGGCAGTCCTGGCATTCATTGTCAGGTCTGCGAGGCGCTTCTTGCCTCAGGCGACAATATCTGGCAGAGACCACATCTGCTGCCTCTCAACTCGAAGGCAAAACGTCCCTGAAGTCAACAAGTGGACTGAAGCCGATCGCATCAGCTTTCCTACTCCTTGAAACCTGCCGACATCAAGAGTACCCGATGCCTAGCAATTCCAATCTCAACGACATGTGGCCCTTCAGCTGCCAACAAGTCTCCCTAGCCGAAGATTAAGACTTCAGAGACCTGCGGTGTAACCGCTCAGAATGCACTCGTTGTCTCACGATCCCAAGGATTGTGCTCGAGAATCGTGAAGATACCCTAAGAACAGCCACGAGACCCTCCGTGCGGAAGTGATTCATCTTCGCCTTGAGCTCCTGCATGCTCTAGCTCGAAAGGAAAGGACAGCTTCAACGTGCGATGCTGCCTCACGTGCCACCCTGGAGTCACGCCATGCGCCTGGAAGTGCTTCGCAATGTGATCCTTCTCTGTGCGGAGCTGCTGATTCCGCTCCTCAGAACACTCCCGGCCCACACGGAAGGACTCGGATGCTTGCTTTCGACTAATATGCTTGGAATGTTGTTTGTTGTTGCGGGAGCCGCGCCTCGCACTCCTGCCGGTTCTGCGCGATCTTCTGCTTCCAGTGCTGGATGGCAGCCTCGCAGTCGAGAACTGTCGTCACAGAATACACGGAGCGCGACCAAGTGCTCTAGCTCTAACTCTTCTTGGTCCAGACCCGTCCTGCATGCGTTCCACCTGCCGCAGCCGCCGCTCAACCTGTACAGTCCAACACTCTGGCATCTACGAACACATGAAACCAGTGCTACTCGAAGCACCTGGTCACTGAGAGATGCATCACGACGAAGGTACTCCTGCCAGTGAGCAACATGTACTGAACTGACTCCGACTTGGTCATCATGAGACGTCGAAACACCAGAATCGTCATCCAAAATTCCCGCGGCACGCCAGAGGGCAAGGACTTTTACGCGGCCACTTCGAGCTTTGTCGTGCAGGCAGCGCGGGCCATTTCGCTCCACGTCCGGAGTTCCGCAACTCGTCTGTCCAAAGGCAGTACATCGGAACCTTGCATCGTACGGAAGGGCTCCCGAAACTGGCACCCGTAGATGACATCCTAAGCCTATGCGGCATCCTTGCAACTTCTAACGCTCGAGACCCCTGAACCCTACAGCTAGACCTCAAACAAAAACACTAGAGCTGTAAACATAAAAACTCCACAAAGCCCTAAAGCCCTCAAGCCCAAAACCCTGAACCTGCATCGTTCACACTTCAGAGGCACTCCGCCGAACCGCACTCCGAAGAGCCCGGTGGCTTTTAAGGAACGCATAAACAAGGGACCCAAAAGGGGCGTAAGAAAGCGCTTTACGGGGCTCTCTTTGGATCTTGATGCTTCTTGCACGCATAACAACCAACAACAGCCTCGGAGCTCCAAGGGGCACCGAGGCGCTCCATCCTTGGTCGGCGGACGGTGCTCGTTTGTGACGACCCCACATGACACCATGGGCCACCAAGAAAGCTTCATGCAGATATAGGCGTCAGCAACTTCAAAGACTCTGCCCGTGCTCCCAAAACCTGTGCCGAGTCTCAGCTCCAGCAGCTGGATCAGCTCAGGAAGGCTGTGTCCTGGCCAAGGTCTTCGCTCTTCGCGGCAGGAAGGGTCTGATGTCAGATATGTCTTGTTTTGGATCCAAGTCCTTTCAAACGGCCAGTCAGCGTGAAGCGCAGGGCCTGAAGAAGCTTCTTGCCCTCAGGGTTGCATGCGGCATGTGGGTGGGCAAAGCAGTGGCGAAGACAACACAAAACCAGACGGTGCCCTGTCGTGAAGATGCGTGTTTCTCCCCAGCAGCCTTGAGACCCGTTGCATTGGAGAGATCGGCCGTCAGCTCCTAAGACTCCCGAAGCACAGCCTACCCATGCACATGTGGGTCAAAGGTGGGCACATTCATGCCCTTTCGCTTGAGCTGCTGCTCCTCAAGCCTTAAACCCCCCAACAAAAACGTTGTCCCAAATGCGCCCCCTCAGCCCCGGACCTCCCAGGCGTCGCTTCGGAGGCGGCCCCGGTCGAAGGCAGCGATGAGCTCTTCGACGAGAAGCGGAAGGTCGCCTCGGCTGGGCTGAAAGACTGCAAGAAGCACGAAGAAACCCCCGAAACCGGCCCTTACCTTGCTCCTCTCGTCGGCGTGGCGATTCACGCAAGCTACAGCTACGTGCACGGAGGCTGCCCGTTCAAGTGCTGTAGAGGAGGCACCAGCAATCTTGCTCTCCGCTTGCGCCGCATCGGAGAAGCTAAAGGTCAACTCCGCATGCAGGTGTCGCAGCGCGTCTCGCAAGTTGCACGCGCCGGCTGAAGCAACCCGAGTTGCAAGCCGCAACAGGTCCTCCTCGTCGGCGAAACCATGCAGGACCAACAGTGGCTGCAATCGCTGTTTCAGGACTTCTGGAGTGAGAGGCTCGTCGAGCTCCGCACGTGCCCGTGCATCCCACGTGCCCAGCTGCGCCGCAAAGAACGTGGTCAAATTCCCGTGCTCGTTCCGTCGGATGCATATCCGGTACCTCTCAACCCCACAGCTCCACATAGCTCCACATCCAACAGCAACACCAGAGACAACAGTAGTAATTCAACAACAACGACAACATGCATCAAGAAAAAGATGCATCTACTGCATCCAATGCACACATGGTCACCAAGTCTCGCTGCCCGCATGTACCCAACATCCCTTGACATGAAGTCACGACTCCACTGGCGTCTCACAGCACGCTCGGGTGTCAGCGTCTCGAAAAAGGCCGTCGTGGCGATCGCCAGTTGCCACTCAGGTGACACACCGACGAAGAATCCGCCGACGTCCTTAATCAAATGCTTCCCCTCGAGGTCCCAAGTGAAGCGGCCGCTTACAAAGTAGGGGTTCAGAGCTCCCTCGGACACGGTTGTCCGGCCCTTGTACCGCGCACCCAAGTAGCGCGCGGCACCTCGCTGCTCCTCCAGGTAGAACTTCACCCAGTTGTGCAGTCCTCCGACCACCCCACGTCCCTGCAGGTCCTCCGTGGCCTCACCAACAAAGACATGCTCGAAGCCGCACTTTGGGCTTGTGGGATGTCGCTGGAACCAAATGTTCCACATGTGACGGCGCCAAGATTCGTCCGTAAGATCTTCAAGCTTTGAGGCCTCTGCACGAGCTCGGCGCATGACGGGTGTGCGGTCCACCACATCCAGAAGTTTTTCGATCTTCCCCCGCTCCTCCGCAGTGTACTCCCCAATCTGCCCACGGCGCTGGTGGAAGACTTCAAAAACATCTAGGAGGGCTAGGAATGTGGATCTGGTGAAGACATAGGGTTGTACCTGTGCAAAAAGCGGCGCTTCGTGGCCCTCTTGCCGTGGCCGCTCGTCGACCAAGATATCCTTGCAAGCAAGCAAACGTGCAACAGCACTGCCATCCTCCTGCTGTAGAGCATCCGCCATCTTGGCCGTCCGGATGTTTTCGACAGTCGCCCTGCCCTCATCCAGGAGCCAAAGCTCTGAGTAAATACCTCCACCTCCATGGGCACAGCGTGCAGCCCTCGTCAGTGCAGAGTCGACTAGGAACTCCGCCACTACATCCACATCAGCACTCCCAGATCGGATTTCTTCCGCGGCACGCACAACCAGCTCTTTGCGCGCTTTGGCCGCAGCTCGGCCGACGGCTGCAAAGTCTCCGCCTGACTGACACAAGCTGTCACTTGGGAAACTTCATGCTTGACATGCCGCCCGGCTCAGCTGAGGAGACGGCTAGAAGAGAACTCCTTGACGCCAGCTTCTGCTGCCGCCCGTATGAGGTCGTAGGCGGCACGCGCTTTCACATCCAGACCTTCCGGGCCCCGTGCCGCTGCTTGGACGAGCGCGTGCCCGAGGGACCCGTCAGACGCCGCAGGGTCAAACCGACCCTTTCGGTGGCGCTGAAGACGGCGCCACAGGCGCCGGCTGAGCTGTGCCAAAGCAAAGCTGCTCAAACCCAAAGACAGACCGAAGGCAAAGGGAGCAACGGCGGATCTCGAAGAACGGCTGGGCCGCACAACAGCTCTGTTGCCGACAGTGTGGCTAGCTCCACAGAAAGACCGACCTCCACGCCTCAAACTCCTTAAGCAGCCGCCTGATAAATCGGATCCGACATGTGGCTGCATGAATATCTTCGCAACTAAAGATCCATGCGCTCTTGTGCAGCATGACAACATTAACGTGTGCACATGACACGCTTGGCCTACTTACGACTCCAGTTTGCCCTCGGCAGATGCTTCCTGTGCCTTTTGTGCTCCGAATGATCCACCAACTGGCACAAATTACCATAGCCAAGGACGGCTGCAGAGTAAAGCTAAGATACTGCGATGCGTGTCAAGTCATCAGCACTTCCATTCTGCTGACAGGTGCCGCAGCATGAACATGCGTGAACTACGTGTATGAAACATGATGGGGTCCTCCCTGGCCATGTCACACAACCGGTGAAAGAAGCTCAGCACCACTTGCATGCGCTTGTGGCCCCGGGCATAACAGCAAAAAGGTGCTGACATGGTGTCAACATGTCCTTGTACTCGGTCGTGCTGCTTTCAGTCGACTTTTCGTAGGCTTGCAGTCTCTCTTTGCACCTGCACGATCAGACATGCTTTTCAACCTGGCCATGCAGAAACCTTGCAAAAATGAAAATCTCCTTAGCTCTTCATGCTCTTCCGAATCGTTTGGATCAATTCCAGGTGTCCTTCAGCAGGAGTGACACTAATCCTAGCGAAGATATGGCAGCAAGGTTGTACTGCGTCGTTACGACATCAGTCAGCTGTACCTGAGCAGCCTCACAACTCAGCTCGGAAAGATTCTCTTGAACGGCTGGGGGCGATCAGCATCATAGCATTTCTGACACCTACGGCGGAAGTTCGAGTCTTTTAAATATGATGCATCATGCAGCAGAGGCCCTTAAGACACTATCCCACCAAAATCCGCCTCGTACATACCTTGGTTCACCCGTAATCCCAACCCTCCTAAACCCTCAACCGCACTACAGGCGAACCGGCCTTGCACGAGTCTCCTCAATCTGCTCCTCCAGCCCAGAACGCATCTGGTGGTCCTCCTCGATGTTCTTGTTGCCTGGGGAAGGAAGAAGGTCCAGGGTTGGTCGGCGAGAGAATGATTGATGGCAAGGCGCGGATGAGTTCAAACTGGGATTGGTGGTCGGTGATATCCGCCTTAGCGATCGACATCGTGGGCAACAGGATCTCTGACGACGCTGCTCACATAGAAGAGCAGCAAGGTGTCTCAGTCTAGGGATGATGGCGAGACGTACAAGGCCCGCACCATTTCGCGGTTCTTCTCCTCACGCCTGGGTATTGCGCACATACTTCGTCAATCTACGTCACTGACTCGAGACACCTGATGACACCTGACCGAGACTCTCCAGCAGCAGGTGAGCCGATGCTGCCAAGCTGCTCCACTTGTTCTACTATCAGAGCGAGTTCTCGCTTCTCCAATGCATGTCGTTCCTGGCATGGTGGCAGTGCATGCGGCTGGCACACCGCTTCCGGAACAGTTGCAAAGGAAACTTTTGCGATTGGCTTGGAACGCGCTAGCTAACAAAACCTATGCAACGTACGAGACACGAGTGCCAGATTGCAGCGGATGCAAAGCGTCGCTCATGACGGGGGACCAGCTCCAAGAGCAGCAAGAAGAGCTTGCAACTTGCCATTAAACACGATCCTGGATGTTCTCTCGCTCTATTCGGAACTCCTGCCAGCTGTGTGCGTGCGCTCAAGACACCACTCTGGAAGCTAGGCTTTTCGGAAGCCCTGCTCCACAAGGTTCAAGGCTGCAAATGCTGCAATGACAAACACATGTGGGCGGCTGTTCGGTGCCAACCGCTCCTCCCTGAGCGTGGCAACATCTCGCTGGAACTCCTCGTCCAAAGCAAGGAGCCTTGCAACCATGAGCCACATGCGCGAGCTAAGATTAGTTTAAGACACATCCGGCGAGGTCCCTAACCCGGAGTCAATCTGAAGCGAGGCTAACCTTGAATAGGACTTTGCTGCCAGGCCTGCTCTGCTGTATCTCCAAAAGGCGATCTACGTTGAGAAGATGGCTTCTCACAGCCACCTGGTGTTGCTCCTCGAGGGTGAGGTTCGTACCGTTCAATGCAGGTTCCCAGATAACAGAAGGAGCCGAGTAGTCTAAACTTCAGCCATGTTGAGATTCTGCACTTGTTTGCCTACTTGGTCCTACTTGTACTAGTAACTCCTTGATTTCAACAAAAGTTGTCCAATGCCCGTCCTCAGCCTCATCCAGGTCTCGATCTAACATCTGGAGAATGGCATCTTTGCCTTGCGGCACAAGTCTTCGATAGCAGATTGACCTCGCCTGTTTTCTAGCTGTTGACACACATATGTCGTGAGTCATGAACTCCATCCATGGGTTCCCCACGCCAACATGCCGGTTGCCGTGCCGGATCTGCTCAGGCTTCAGCGATCAACGTCGCGCTCGTGGTTCTGGGAGATGATCTCAACCTGCACCGGACTCAGCAGATGCACGAAACGAACGCTGTGCAAGCGCAGGTTTTCCAAACCTGCTTCCATGTCACGACCCACCTGAAGTGACACTGCACACCCAGCTCCCCGCTCCCACAGTCCCACGCTCCTGCTTCTTCAGCTGCTTGGTCTTCGCTGAGCGCATGATCTTCAGCCAGCTTTCCTGAATCCTCGGACGATTCCCGTCTCTTAAGTTTTGTGTGATTCAAATCTAACCTGACATTCGCTTCAAAGACAGATCTGCTCACCTTCAAAACGCAGCTTCTGAGCCGCTGGCCGGCTCATGTTGTACTTGGTATTTCTGACCTGCATGTGTAGACGAGGTGTACCGCGTGTGCAGCTACACGCGGAAGAAGTTGCATCTGCAGGTCTCTTCCTCCGGCAAACCTTGCCTCAAGCTGCGTGTCTTTCTGCAGCTTGTGCCGCTGCTGCATGAGCATGAACTGCTCCTCGGCAAGCATCGGCGCTGACCGTTGTCAGTGTGACTTCATCTGCAGATCTCCAGTTGGTCTATTTATCACCACCACTGTACCAAGAACAGCAGCAACAAAACCGCAAAAAGACCACGACGATGACAACTGCTGCTGCAGGCCCTAAAGAGTTCAACACAATGCAAACTCACTACTAGGCCCGTGGCGCATGCGCATACGTGCTGTTTTGTGTACAGGAGCGACTCAAGATGCGAAGATACATGCTGAATGCAGTCTTTTGTGCAAGGCTTCAGGCCAGTTGCACGAACGAGTAGTGTAGACGGGGCACTACTAAGGGGAAACAGGCAGAATAGTCTTTCAGCCTAGGGAATTCGTCTATTCTCAGAAGATTTGGAATGCCCCGAACTACTTTGCGTGGACATGAGCATACTACCTCTTCTCAAGCTCTTCGGAGTTTGAGTTCTCAGGCTCTTTGGAGTTTCAGTATATTATACACTATGTACAAAATACAGAACATATATAATACCAAATATGTAATGTGTAATATCGACTTCTTGCTATACACATATCTTACAACATGCAACAAAAGAGTGTACAAAATGAAAAATGTCACTGCTAATTTAACTTTGTGATATGTAATATATGTGTGTATATATATATACATATTAAACAAATATGTATGTATATATGTATAGAGTATACATGATATGTGTATAATATAGGGTGTATACGGATTATACACAACATATATACATATATGTGATATATAATGACTTTTATATGTAAAATAAACAAATATATAATGTAATGTATAATGTAATATAACCTACATATAAATATACATATAGAAACATATTTTGGATTGTAAAGTATATAACACATGACATGTGATATGTGCTATATAATATTCAGTATATTACATGAAATACCACACATACAACATATCAACATATCCTGTATGATATATAGTGTTATTTTTCTTATGTACAATATATAATATATGATATGTGGTGTTGTTATATAAACCATATATATATATATATGTGTATATATGAAACAGTATATAATACATATATAATATGTAACATATAACATATACTGTACAATACCTGTGGTCGCTCCTCAAATCTACGTTAGCAGTCCCAAAAAAACACCCGGAAGCACAGGAAACTATGCGCACAGATGCGTGCCGAGCTCCCTCTACTAAGTGGGAATTTCTAACCACGACTACAACTGTTTCAAGAAGAAGTCATATACCTGTACAGCACTTCAAAGATGCCGAAGTATCCCATAACGGATTCATATAGAAATACATATACATATACATATATATATATACACATATATGGGTGCTTATCAAAATTAGGTTCCCCTCTGGGTCCCCTAAATATTAGGTGCCGTAGTATATTAAGGACCCAAAAAAGGACCATTATCTTGATAACCACCCATATAGCTGAAGCATCGACTCCTGAGTATTACAAACACAATGAAATATACGAGTAGTGTTTGATCAAGACGGCGAGTATGATCATGATGATGTTGAGTGTGGCTGATTGTGAGTATGATCGTGAACATTATGGCGATGGTTCTTGCTCATGTTTTCTCCGCCTCAGGCCACGGCTCCACCACCGTAGGAAGCCCAAATGCCCAGAAGACGAAAAGCTAAGAAATGAAGAAAAGGCCAGGATGTGAAAACCAGAACTGGGAAGTTGGCCTTGTCGTATTCTTCCATCTCTTTTGCCCGCGTAGCATTTCCTGCATGCAACAACCGCTAAACTGCCTTCATGTGCACAGAGCGCAAACATGGACACGGGCTTGAGGAGTAGCTACAAGCTGCTTAAACCATTTTGGCCTCTGAAGTAAACTGTCGAAAGAATCGCACAAAAGCCATTTTGGGTTGCACACCACACAGCGAAACATCTTCCCGCTCAAGCTGCGGCCCACTCCTTGCTTCGGAGGCATGCCGGCGGCGGGCCTCACGGCAAATGTCACATCGTTGCACCAGTTTAGCTCCGCGAGGACTCTCTCGTCTTCAACGACAGCAGTATTCAATGGTAGTAATTAATTCCTTAAACCGCGCCTCTGGCCGGCACGCGGCCTCCCCTCTTCGAGGACGCTTCTTGAGCTGCAATTCAGCAATGCAGTGGAAACTCTGCATGAGGGTCATGAAAACTACATGAAGCGTCGGCTGAACATGCACAATGGATGCATCGGTCCACCTTTCGACTCGGCTAAATGCCGGTGTCTGTTAATCCAGAACTCAAGCCCAACTTAGCCGAGCTGAAGAGTCACCGTACAGAATCCTGGACACAACCGCTCGTTTGACGAAACAGATGGTCCCGGTCGTTAACTTGAGCACCTCGCGTCCCAAGAGCTCGGCCGGCTCACGGCGACATCAGGCCGGGAGACTGCTGCACGTGCGTATATGCCATTCCACGGGACTCCGTCAGAATATGGTCTTGCAAATTCAGGATGTGCCAATTGCACGCTCCCCATGTGCAGAGGATGAGCAGGAACATGATCACCACGAACACGACATGCCAGCTGCCCCAGTGCCGAAGAACATCATCGACTGGACAAGTCTGCTGAAAGCAGGGAATGTACACGTCGAAGAAACCTTGGATGAAGAAACGAGTGTTCTTGCGCCCCATCATGCTCCCGAAGAACTCTCAAAATAACCTGAGGCCAAGCAACCGAGGCTGATCCGAAGATTCGGATGGCGTGCTCCAATGGGAAGGTCGTCACAGGTGTGCCTCGAGTTCTGAAACAAAACGCTTAACCGGGCGTAACCGATGCATCATGCGAACATACCAGGATGGAGTGCCAAACAGCCGAGGCACATCACTTGCTCGCGAGTCACGGTGCAGTTGGGATCCACCTTCTCGTTTGATAGAGCCTGCCCAAAAAGCACGTCATCCTCGAACATGCCCACGAACAAGTTGGAGTTGAGATTGCATCTTTCCCTGTAGAAGGTCTTGTCATGTTCGAACACGGGGAACAAGACTCCGAAGTTGTTCAACACCGTGATCTCGGAATACTTCTGAAAGCAAGCCATGCAATACAATCTCGAAACCATAAAGGTCCCGGAGCCCAACAGCAGCATCATGAAGAGTTGACCCAAGCACATAGCCTTGCGACGATAGGCCGTGTCAATGTTTCCAACCAAGGTCTCGTCTGGCTCTTGAGATCGAAAACCAGTGACATGAAGCAACTCGTATGTCCTTTTGAAGTTGTGGGCATCATCGTAATCAATGCTGTCGCCAGTCTTGGCATCGCGGACTGTGAGATCAAATTGGCTGACGCCTCGACTGGGTGCGAGATGCTCCCGCAACTCTATCAAGATCCAAGCAGGAAGAGTGAAGTTGTAGTCTCTTCTGCAAGGCTCCATGCGGATGCGAACTGGTCCTTGTTCATGCTCCATCCAATACAGCAGCATCTTGGGACTGATGTAGCACTCGCAGATCTCCACACTGCCCACTGCATGCATCTTCTTCACAACAAAACGTACGTTGCTGTCTAGAGTTGACCTCCGCACTTTGATAATGAGCGAATCGGGAAAATTGACCACTTTCGGATCGCAGTTCTCAACCACGGCTGTGATTTGTGGAGGGTTGCTGCTTGTTTCGACTGTCAGATAGAAGTCGCCAGACCGAACTGCTGGAAGGTCTCCGACAATGATATTCGTAAGTTCTATCGGAACCTGGACAAGGCCCAAGCGCTGCCCCAACAGGTGCAAAAGGTTCTTGCCTTTGGAACTGCGAAAGGGCCAGCAGCACGAAGATGTCAATGCTCGAGTCCACTCACCCTCGCAAAAACGGCAACACGTGAGAACTTGCCAGATACTGGAATTCAAATCGCAGTGCACACGATCGTCCCCCGTCATCAATGTGACCACACGATCCCTGTACAGGAAGGCGAGGTAAAAGGCGACACCAAGCAGCAACAGAGCTAAGCAGCGGTTAACTTCTCCGACAATGTCCATTGCCAAAGCTGGCACCACCGATTGCACCAAGCAGAGCGCCCATAACCAACACCAAGCCATGCTTGTGCAGGGGTGCGAGATGTCGGGCCGAGGACTGAGCACCTACATACCGACAGCTGCAAAATGCTGAAAATGAACAAACGAGGTTAGTGGAACATCTTGAAAAAATCCACCAGTAAAATCGTGGGCATCTCGAATGCTGAACCAATACCATGGAATTGAACATGATGCAGAGCTGTTCACAACACCTGATCGAAACGCCGATTCGAACCAGCTCTACCAATACCTGCAATGAACATATCAGATATCAGCTCCGCCTTGTGTGTGCAGTCACAACACCTCAAAAACTTGCAAAGCGTCCAAAACCATGCAACTCCAGCATTGATGAAGTTCCTTCGAGGTGAAGCTTTCAACTATTCCACCGAAAATGTAGACGTAGATTCCTTGACCAAAACCATTTGGTTTTGAGCAACAACAGTGTTGCGAAACAACGCTCACACACTCTTCGTCACCATCATGCATGCACGGTCTCCTTTCTCTCACGTGTGTCTTGCATGTAAAGCTTCAAAAACAAACAGTCATCGGAAAAATGAGCCCGCCACGTACAGCAACCTCGGAATTCAACTCATTCAAACAAGCCGTTGGTGCACATGATTCGAAATACAACACTACATAAGTTGTAATTCCAAACGCAAACGCACTTTTGATTTGAAGTGGTTGTGTTGCCGCCCAAAGCATGAAAACACCACGAACCAACTTGGAAACCAAATTACAAAATCCGAAACACCACAAGCACCGTCGCGCAAATGTTGAATGCAAACATTCGAACACGGTTGTGTGATGTTGTGGTCGTAACAGACCTTATCTCATGACAAAACAGCTCATGATATTACAAACGAATTTTTTGGGGCTTGAACAGGCCGCGTCGACGGCCAGCCGCTCTCGGTCCTAACAAGAAGGCGAAAAGAACAAGCACGAAACTTTCAGACATAAAGTGAAACGGCCGAAACTAGGCGAAATAACTACAACAAGCGAACTAAGTCGGCGAAGGTGAGTGAGTGAGTGATGACCTCAGAGTGGCTTCGAAACGTCATAGCCCCCCCTTCGTCACAAAGCTCAAGTGGGGGAAACTCGCCAATGACTTGCCACACCACAACTGCTTCGCACCTTTCAACAAGAGTGGTGGGAGTAACTTTCCAGCCGATGCAACCGATGCAACCAGCTTGGAAGTGTGATGTCGCACTGGAGGGTCATTATGCTCTCCACATCTGCACTGAGCTTGCGATTGTCGAGCACGCTGCGACCGAGACAAGGCAAATTGGAAGCACCATGCTGCTGGGGATGGACGTGTTGAATCAGATTTTTTTTTGGCGTATGCGGGCCTCGTTGACTACGGCTGTAGCACTCGGTCCCTACAAACAAACAAACCAACAAACAAACGAAAACAGCGGTGAAACAAGATACCTAATTAGAGAGGGCGGAACTAGCTGCGGCGCCCAGGCTTTGCCGGGGTTTGCCGTTCAGCACCTGCTACGGGTCCTCAGCGATCGTTCCACAACAACAGTGGGCCGTCGCCCAAAGTTGCCCAAAACCGTCAGTGGAGCCCAAGTCAAGGCTCCGGCCGCCGTTCTAGTTCCGTCGAACAACGGTCGGCCCCGAGGTCCTGTTGTGTCCCGATCGTGCACGAAACAAAAATCCACAAGTCCGGAAGCCCAAGGCCAGCGGCAATGGAAAGACTCGTCGACGTATGTCGAAAGGTTGGACACTGTGGCCAGCCAATGAGTCCAAGGTCTGAAAGGGCCTCGCTCCTAGGCAGGGGGCCATTGATCGAGCATGCGCTGCATGTCGTTGCCACTTCGTGGAAAGTGGGATTCTCGCAGAAGGTACAGCAATTGAAACTGGCCCTCATCATACAAGGCTTTGAGGCGGTGGAAGCCGTACTGGAGGGTGTCTAGGTCTGGTTCATGAAGATGCGGCGTAAGCTCATTGGAAATGAAAGGGAGCTGGATGCCAGGGCCAAGTCCACCCTGTTCGATGAAAGCATGGGCCGCTGCACGCCACTCGTCTTGTCCCCACGTGTGCCCGAGACGATATCGCGGTTGGTTACCGTTGGGCAGAACACCCTGATTGGATTCCTGTGCCACTAAGCGATGGATCAGAACTTGGGCCCGACAGTCCCATGCATCGAAGTGGGCATAGCGCCACAGGCGTACAGGGAAGTAGAAGTCCATTTTCCGAGGGCCGCGTAGCCAAAACACAACAACGGCACTGAGCTCCCGACTCCCAACCCCGGGTGATGGCAGCCGTGCGGAGACGACACAATGCGGCGTGCAAAAGTCCAGCAGACTGGAGGGGAAGAGCGGGCTGCGCCCGCAATCCCAGGGAGGCATCATCAAGGGGAAGCAGGAGACGAAACGTGCCTTTACAGAGGCCAGGGTAGGAGAACGCGCCTTGCAGGGAGAAGTCCACGATGAAAGCCTTCCATCATGCGGGCAGCAATCGCGATTTGGGGTTGGCCAACCAGAGAGGTCGGGACTTCCGCCTTGACTCGGAGCTCAACAAACTGCAGGCCATTGTGCTCGACTGGTGCAACACGTACAAGCTGCAAGAGGGGAGCCGCCTCAGGCTCGTCGGTCAGGGCCCTGGCTAAATAAAACACGAGCTGCACAGGGAGCAACACACCACAATGGAGAAGTGGAGTGCCTTGCTGCGGATCTGTGTGCGTTCCGCCTGCAGCCGCGGGTCGCCGGGTGTTGGAGCCGGCGCCACGGTGGCGTTTGCCGGCCTCGGCGGGATCTCTCCGAGGTGCGAGTGACATTTGGATGAGGCTACCGTCGCGGACAGGTGACTTGATACCCGCTTTGGCATTAGGAAGCGAGAAACGGAGTCCATCCAGCTCGTCCAATAGCAACCACCACCATATTTCCGGACGAGCCAACTCATACCACGAAAGATCAAAAACTCGACCCTCGGGCAGCCGTAGCACCGGGTCACAGAACTGAGCAAGGGCAATGGATACTGCCAAAATGGGTGTGAGGCACACCCGGAAAGCCTCACTGGGCGTGCAGTGTCTCAGCATGAGTGCACGATCAGCAAAGTCTACCACGTGCGCGCCGAAGTTCTGAGGGCTGATCTTCACTTCGCATGCTGGCAGCGAAAGGGGAAGCGGTAGGAGGGAGAGGCAATCTTCTTTAAAATCAGCGATGTTTGAGAAAGGCAATTACCGACGATCCTGTACAAAGTATTATCTCAGTGATATTCACAATAAGAATATTAAAAAACTTCGCAATCCGATATATTCAAATGAATCCAGATCGATATGAATATGACTCTATCAAAAGAGTCGAGCTCGATGCTCAATGGTATTTCCGGTCAAGTTAAAAATTGACAGCAGAGAAGGTCGCGCACTCTTCGTTTTCTCTTCAGCGATCAGGGGTTTGAACGAATTCGGAATTCGGGAACCATTGCATCCGGGCCGCAGCCGATGCGAAGAGCACGGGCCTGAAGCCGCTCAGAGTTTGTCCCGAACACACCCCCCCCCACAGATGTCTGGGTCGGGCGGGCGGGGAAAAGTTTTAAAAGCTCAGCTCGAGCAATCACTTCATCACAAACACAAATATTGTCAGTGATGCAAAGAAGCATGGGCATGCGACAGTGATCTGTAAAGCATGCCAAATACTCTTCTTGAAAAACCACCCAAAAAGGGAGGCGGCAAGTTAAATCGCATAAAGTGATGTTGCCAAATGTCAAACACGGCCTGCGGCCTGTCGCCGATTTCAAAGAAAGAAAAGTCTGCAGGCAGAAAAGTTTCTTCTTTAAAATCAGCGATGTTTGAGAAAGGCAATTACCGACGATCCTGTACAAAGTATTATCTCAGTGATATTCACAATAAGAATATTAAAAAACTTCGCAATCCGATATATTCAAATGAATCCAGATCGATATGAATATGACTCTATCAAAAGAGTCGAGCTCGATGCTCAATGGTATTTCCGGTCAAGTTAAAAATTGACAGCAGAGAAGGTCGCGCACTCTTCGTTTTCTCTTCAGCGATCAGGGGTTTGAACGAATTCGGAATTCGGGAACCATTGCATCCGGGCCGCAGCCGATGCGAAGAGCACGGGCCTGAAGCCGCTCAGAGTTTGTCCCGAACACACCCCCTCGGATCGACGAACTCAGAGCAGGTAGGCGTCAATCAAAGATTGGTCAACAAAGTAAGGCTCTACCTCTGCCGCACGAACGACCTTCTGCGCTTTCCAACCTTCGCCCCTGGAGGGCCAGTCGGCGATGTTCGAAGAGGATGGCACCCTCTCTATCCACGAGATGCAAGGGGCGACGGCCTCGACCATAGACAAGGCCAGGGCCAAGCGATGCATCGCGTCACTTCTGCTTTGACCACGCAATACCACAGATCTAGCGGCATCGTTGTCAATGAAGAATATGATTCTCTTTCCTGAAAGAAAATTCTGAAGGCAGGCCCTGATCATCAAGAGGGCATACAGCTCTACCTCACAGATGATTTGCTCCCCGACCTCCTCTCGCCAGCGAACCACTAGGCGCTCAGGGACCTGTCCTTGGAAAACTCTGGAAACGCCGCTGCTCGCATCAAGAATCACTGCACCGATCCCGGCGAAGGCTTTGGCAGGCTCCCAAGCTCCATCAGTCCACACCAGGATAGGAGGCTCTCCGGTCGAATCGCAACTTATGAAGCGGGGCGGCGTGCTCACAAGAATTTTGATCGTGTGCTTGCACATCTCGCTGACGGTCTTTGGCGAAGGCCTGTCTCCAGCTAGAAAGCCAGATAGCCATTTGCACGAGTGCTTGAGGGCACGACCGGCAAAGAAACCAGATGAAAAGTTGAGCAAGCCCAGCAAAATCTGAGCCTGATGAACCGTAAGGAAACCAGAAGCAGCCACAGATTCAAGCTTCTCCACGATCCGAACGATCCTGCCAGGTTTGTTCGAGAGGACGATGCTTCTCTTCGACAAGTTGCTCAAGTCAATCTGCATTCCCAAGACGGAGAAAACCTCCGCGAAAGGATGTGATTTGCTGCCTGTCTTGGCGTGGCCCCAGCCCAGAATGTCTAAGAATTCGCTGATGATGCCATCAGTGTCACTGGAAGAAAGCGATGTCGAAAACATCGGGTAGTCATCAAAGTACACTGAGCTGGGCAGCTTGAATATCTTCAGCAGCAGTTTGTGAAGGCTTCTGCTCGTACGCACGAACCCATAAACCGAAGCAGTAAGACCGAAGAGCAGCGAATTTGCAATGAAGAATTGATCCTCGCCAGAAGGGCCTTTGTGGTAGATCACAGCAAGAGAGCGGTGCTCCTTCTTCATTGGCATCTGCTTGTACGCCTTCGACAAGTCAAGGCACTTGCCCAACCACGACCGAGGGGGCTCGCCCGTGGCGCGTGATCTCTCGGCCTCTTCGATGGCAATCCTTGCTGCTAGAGCTGCAACGAAGTCGGAACTCTGGAGCTCCAACTTGATGGTGGCCGTAAAGCAGTTGTTGATCAAAGCCTCGTGCCCGTCATCAATGGGTCTAGGTTTGTTCTCGGCTCCTTGAAGGATTAGGAACCTTCGTATGCAGCTCCAATCGTCTGAGTGAAAGAAAGAAGACACTTGGCTTTCGGTGTAAGGGCCTTCCAGGAAACCCAGATCGACTTCGTCCATAGTAGCCTTCGACAGCAACTCTTGAAGGTCGGCTGCCTGCGTGCCACTGGATCCAATCATCACCTTTCGGCGGAACGAAGCAGTACCCTTGAGATCCTGTTCCGACATGGTAGCCGGCACAATCTTTCGGTTGAAAGGCTGAGGGCAGGCTGACTGCCCTACAATCGGGACGCCTGACATCATGAAATCGCAAACTTGCATGTCGTCAAAACCGTTCTGCTCAAGAAGATGCTTCCACAGAAGAAGACGCTTTCCCGCCACAACCTTTTCGAACCAAGGGTCGAACGAAGAATGTAATCGAGCCTCGTCGGCCTCGAACTTTTTGGCAAGGATCTTTATTTTCAGAAGTTGAAGCTTTCGATGATCGACCACCTCTTTCTCAGTGTTTTTCATGCAGAAGCTGATTGCATCGAGCTGATCCTGGTCAAGGGCTACGGCAGTGTCGACGGGATGCTTTAGCGTCAAGGCCTTCGCAACATGATCCTGCATTGACAAGTACCACCCCACCTTGACCGAGCCCTTGGGCGGATCGGAACTCTTAAGGAAACCAGAGGGGGGAACCTTGCTGGAAGCCTCATCCGAAACCCTAGGGAGCTTAGCAGGAGGGTAAACCGCCTTATCACTAGCAACCCATCCGTCAGACACAGCTACATTGTCAACTGCATGGCTGTCTTCGGCTGCCTTCTCTCTCCCGCTATCCTCCCCAGCAACCTGAGAGAGAAGGATGCGACAAGAATCGTCAGGCTGGAAAGAGGGCGGCTCCCACGTGACCTTGCGGAACTCAGGAATCAAAGGAGGGAAGCGGCGATGCTGCCGACCAAGAACAGCAACGGAGCTGGCTGCCAAGTCAGGAGATGCTTGCAAAGACAAACCCATGAAAGAAGCCGCGCTCTCCAGACAGGAGGCCATACGCTTGCAAAGCAGAACTGGGTAAGCCGACACAAGAGAAGATGACAGCTGCATAGAACGCTCATGGAACACGAGGCCCCACGGGCGGTGTGTGTGATTGCCTGGGCAAGTAGCTCGAAGCGAGGTGAACAAGCCTCGAGTGCACAAGAAACGAGTTGACTTCGGTCGATCGGAACCATGACAACACTGGTCACTGGTCGAAATCAACGTATTCCAAGGCAGCGGGAGGCCAAAGCAAGCCCTCGGCCTCAGCAAAGCATTGAAGAACCTTCCAGAACAACGAAGTCCGAGGATTCTCAACGCTGACATTGATGCCCGAAGCAGAACAATGAAGGAAAAGCTTGTAGACGAAACGGTACAGGACGTTGTCTTTACGCACCGCAAGGCTCTGCTGAGACCCGGCACTCAATGACGGCAGACCTAACGGGAAGTCATCGGACCGCAGAGGTTTAGGGGCCTTAGAGGCAAGGGCATGGTTCTTTGGCAGGGGGCGCTCGCGAGAGCGAGAAGCCGTGCCCGCAGGGGGCGATGCATGCATGTGAAAAGGAGGGCACTCCTTGATGAGATCCCAAAAGATTGCCTGTGCTGCATCTAAGGTCAGATCAAGCTTGGCTACGGGAGAGACTGCTCGGTAGCAAGAACTATCCAACCCTAAGACCCGAAAACCCAAATCCTTGCAAGCCTTGCTGAAACGGGCACTGCCAGCGAAAAGCTCGTAACCCAGGAGTCTGATTTCACAGGCGGCTGTTCCTGGGCAGTCACAGGAATGGGAAAGGAGAGATCAGGCGGGGGCCTAAACCCGAGATTAAGCAGGGTCCTTGCTGACTCAGTTGAGATTTTCTCAAGGCTCGCGACAGTGAAGGCCACGCAAACCAATCGATCGCCGACCCAGCTTTCAGTCTCGTGAGGGTATTTGAAGGCATCGAAAGTGACAGGGGACTCGAGGCTAAGCCTTTTACGATGTCACCTTTGATTGACCGTGTGTGAGGTCCGCATCCATCTGCAATCCAGATGCCACCTCCCTGAAAAGATGTCACGGCTATGACCCCGTTAGGGGTATGATGGTTCCTGGAATCAACATGCAAATCGGTTTTAGTGTTGTGAAACAGACTGATAGTTGTGAAGAAATGATCTGGCAAGAAAGTGCGAACAAAAGTGGTGAAGAGCTTGACGCAGAATGGAAACAGCGCACATTCACTCCGAAGACCCTGTAATCCACCCTTTGCGTATGCCCCACAACTGAAACTGCTAGGAGGCTGCGAGGAGGCTCCTCTAGAAGGAATCTCCTTGGGCAAAAGATCGAAAATCTGAACAACATCTCGCTTAGTAATCCCTGACCCTCTGGCCAAAATGGCCTGCGCGAGGGCTTCAGCATCACTAGGGGCAGAGTCCGAAGTGGCCACGATCAGGCCCCTGGGGCCTCGCATGGCCCCATCACTGTACCTGATTTGTGCATTCTGAAAAGGGGTGATCCCCAAAACATCGCCAACACTGGTGAAAGCCTCGCGGGCATCTTCCCTTCGTCACCTTGAGCTTGCATGTGCCCAAGTTAAACCCAAAACAATTCGGCCTGCCCTGATGATCTTTGGCCGCGCAGCCATCCGGAATGGTTACACGGGGTGCCTTGCCACCGCCCTTTTCACCGCCCTTGGTGGATGTCTTGCCCTTTCCGTCACCTTTGTTAGGCGTGGCAAGCTCCTTGAAAGGGCGCTTCGTTGGGTGAGGTGCAGGAGGAGCTACAAGCGGCTGAAGAAACTGAGTTATCTCCTGGCTACCCGATAGATCGCGCAAAGCTGCATCCATGGGTTTCTCAACACCTATGGGTTTCTGCAATTGTCCTTCAAGCATGTCGGCCAACCGGACAAAAAGCTCACGATCTGCCGTAACAACTTGCCCCAAGCTAACTGCCACATATCCCTTCGGCACAGTACGCTGAACTGCTTCGAAGAGCTTGTTGATCCAAGTTTCCATAGCTTCAAAGCTGCACAAGTGACCCAGATCAAATGCTAGTGACCGTCTCTGAAAAGCCTGCCGGAGAGGGTACATGCCTGTGGTGTCGCACGTCGGCTCCGGCTTCTTCTGAATCACCTTTAGGTTGCCCTCGTTGTCCATCTGAACGGCAGAATCCTTCTTCTGGAGAGACATCTCTTGGAAGCGGGATATCCATCTGTTGATCGGAATGTACTTGAGTGTATTATTCTCGTACATGTCAGTCACAAGGTCGATACAGCTATGGGCCGGGGTGGTATGAGAAGTTAGAATGAGACCCGACAGCCTACGATGCTGCGCCTCAATGCGCTCCTTTCTCTCGGCTTGGGGCAGGCGTCGCACTGAGCCTTCCGGCGTGCCTTCGACCCTAGATTTGAGGTCCGCCACATTGAGTGATTGCGACTCGAAAAGCAGCCTACGAATCACCGAGACCTGAAAGGAGCTGGGTGCCGGGGTGACTACGGTGGCTAGCCACGCATCGACAGCTTCGTCTGTTAGGCCCTGCGGCGTCGCCGATGCGGCGAAAGCCAGTTTTCCAAATGTGTTGTATCCAGCATCAATCAAACGACTCAGAAGATCGTTGCTGAGGCCTATTTTACTGCATCTTTCACGGAATGATGCTTCACTGTCTAGTATGACAGAGGACATGGCTCAACCTGCAAGCTACTCGGGCTCGGCCGCCGACACAGAATCGAAGCTGAATGCTTCGGTCGCTGTCTGAGCCAACGGGCACCGGATCCGAGCTTCGACGTATAGCAAAGCCACTGCAAAGCTGACCCTAACAGGCCCTAACATCGTGATTTCAGCAACGTCACTTTGCGCATGTTCGCCAAAACTTCCGGCACCACGGGCCATAGGCCGGTGCATACTGTAGGGTTGTGTTTCACAGTCCTACATCAGATCTAGCCCGCAACATCTCCAAGAGATAAGGTCTGGGTTCTCGGTATGCCCCGGACTCGGAGAGCCGGCATCCGCAGTCTGTCACCTCGGGTCATAGACCGGTGCCATGTGTATTCTCCGGAGCCACGTTATACAGCCCCAACAGTTCACATCAAAGTCGAATGAACTTCACTCCTCAATGGGGAAGGCAAGTCCCACGGACCCGAAGGATCGGGACGTCTATTTTGCAATTGGCCATGCCACAAGCTCGCCACGGGCCAAAAGCCGGCGATGAATGGAACCGCAATGGTACATCCCACCAACGAGCTCGGCCGATTTTTCGTTCGAAAGTATCTGTTCAATCAGCGCCCGACATCGCCCGCCTGCACTGATGGCAGGTGTCCGGATCATCGGCATCGTCTTCCTCGAAGTCCCTGTATCTGTCTGTGAGGGGACGCCCACAAAAGAAAGTGCCCTCATCCCTAAGTCGATGAACAATGCCAGACAGGCTATGCACTCGGAGCTCCGCCACGGTGCATTCGAAGGGTGGCCTAAGCTCCCGGCCGGAACGCGGCATCGGCTCATACCCCACAAGGGACTCGGCAGACTCAGAAGACTCCACATCGGCGGCACCCACATGCTGATCTTCAGGAGGAGCGCGAGCCTGTGAAGCTGTCGTGTCGCCCGTGAGCGCCGATGCCACTGCAGCTACTCTGTCCGTGACCTCGGCATCCGGATCGAATTGGTTCTGGCGGATGGTCCTGAACATGGCCAAGATTTTGCCCGACAAGTTGATGTAGAACTGTCGACTATAAATCAGAGTCGAAGAAGGGCCGCCCTTCCTGAGGTGATGTCCCATCAACAACCTCTCCTTTGAGGTAAAAGAAATTGTAGGAGACCAGCCGCTCCACGTGATCAAGGTAGTCTTGAAGCTGTGGGTCCCTATCGACTCATTAGGTCCAGGGGCCATGTCCAATGAGGTTAGGATGTCGATCAAGATGTCACTGGCCTCCTCTGAGGACATTCGCTCCTGGCCCCAGCATCCCCACTTCTGCGACCAGGAAGGCAAACACCCTCGGTCAAACTGGATGCCTTCTCTCTCGCGTGCCTCCAACCAGAGCTGCGCCCACGGCGTGTTGCTCACCCCAGTTGAGACGCATACGTACGGGAGCAGGCGCGTTTTGGCCTCCACGGTGGTAGACGTCTTCGATCCAAGGGCCTCCGCAGTTAGCAATTGGCCTTCTCCATCAGAGGTGAGAGTCAAAGACAGAACGTTCTGAGAATCGCTCCAACGACATGATGTGTGTATACAAAAGAGAAATTGCCCGACTACACATCGGGTCCAGTCAGAGCATCTCTCCATCAGAAGCTCCAATGCCTCCACTCGTCGACGACTGAGAGAGTCTCTCTGTCTCAGAGGAGCCTTCTTGAGCTTCAAGTCCTGTGCGACGCCACGCACGCTCGAAGACAAGATGGCTTCCAAGTCCATGTACTTGAAACGAGCAATGGCATGAAAGAACCTCAAGGCCTCCAGGATATGAGAAGCCGTAGAAGCTTTAGCACCATGCTCCCGGAATCCTGAAAAGATCGCGTAGACTTGAGCCTCGTTAAGTCGCCATGGTGAATCCAGCGAAGCATCATAGGACCTCACCACAAAAACCTGCAGCGATAGGGATCTCTTCTGTAAAGTCAAGGACGCCTTTCCCCTGAAAGCGTCTGCCAGGCTCTGCATTATGACTTGGTCATCTTCCATAGCCTTTCCTTGATCGACCAGGCTGCTGCCTACGGCTGTGGCCTCAGGGTCAATCAAGATCAGCATCTTGAACCTCCTCAAAGAAGAATCCCTTATGTCTGCATCCGATTTCGGCAGCCTCGCTTTGGCCAACCTTCTGGTCACCGTCCAAGGGATGTGGGCGAACACATCAGGCTCAGGATCCCTCTCCTTTGCCATAGACAAAGTTTCGCTCACCCCAACAGAAGTCGAAAGCCTCAAGAAAAATTCAGAGCACTGATCAAGGTGAAACCTCCTTCTCTTGTGAACTGCTGCAGCCACCATTTGAGAAGCGTCCAGCTCAGCCATCGGTCCCTCAAGCCAAGACAGCTTATTGGATTGCGATCCTGGCAAATGTGGAGGAGCAGCAGAAGAGGAAACAGGTATCTCTTCTTCCACGCACTCAATACTTCCCAAGTCATTGTCTTGAACTTGAGAATGCCACTCTCTCTCATCCGCAGAAAAATCCAAAATCTCGGCTTCAGCATAGGTTTCGCGTCCTTCCATACTCAAGAGGTCCGACTGCTGAACATCTGCCATGTCATCCCGAAGCAGACGCTCAAGGTGTTCTTCGAATGGGTCCCCGGCTGTGGCAGGACCATCCTGTATCAGCCCCCAAACATTGTAAGGAGCTTCTGCCGAATCACCCCCTTCCATCTCAGAAGCTTCGAATGGCATCTGATGGTTCATTGTCTAAGGCTGAGCGCAGAAGAAGCAGGCTCGAAGACGCCAGCTGACACGCAGGAAGTAAAAACGATCGGCTGGAGACATGTGGACCCAGACAAGCCGCACAACATCGTAATGTTCGGCACAGTGAAGAAAGCGGCTGGAAGCAGCACGGCCTTCCATGGCTGGACCCACCCGAAAAGTTTTAAAAGCTCAGCTCGAGCAATCACTTCGTCACAAACACAAATATTGTCAGTGATGCAAAGAAGCATGGGCATGCGACAGTGATCTGTAAAGCATGCCAAATACTCTTCTTGAAAAACCACCCAAAAAGGGAGGCGGAAAGTTAAATCGCATAAAGTGATGTTGCCAACGGCCTGCGGCCTGTCGCCGATTTCAAAGAAAGAAAAGTCTGCAGGCAGAAAAGTTTCTTCTCTGCTGGGGAGAAGTTCCCGTAGAGCCGTTGCACTATCAGGGCCCTCGATGAGCCGCTGTCGTCTGCCCGTGGCCTGAAAGGTGCGCAGGATCGCATGTTGTTCTCCGAAGTCATCCTCCTCCTCAGGCGGAACACTCTTGCTGGGGATTGCATCGACCCCTGGCACCAGACGGTCAGGCGGGATGTCAATGTCAACAGCATCCAGCAATGTAGCCACACGCTGGCTCCATGCAGTATCAGGGGCCTTGGGGACGGAAGCGGCGCAACTTTGGCTGCGGAGCTCGGCTGTCAGGCCAGGATCCTCGTGAGTAGGCACGCCGTCCTCTGGATCGGGTGATGCAAATCCATCGGTATTGTAGAGAGCACGGGGCAAACTGGTGGTGGCGGACGGTGGGAGAAGAGCAGCTGGCAGGCCAAATTTTTGCAGTAGCGTCGACAGAAAGTGTTGGAGCTTCCCCAGCAATACCGTGTCAACTGTGTCAGAAGCAATGGCATAAAGGTAGAATACGCCAGGGACGGAGGCGACCAGCACCTCTGCAGCCTCGTTCCGGCCCCGACACACGGTTGTTTGCGTGTCAATCGCGATGTGTGCCCCGATTGAAGACCGATGATGCGTGGAACGGAAGGCAGCATAAGCTCGCTTGGGCGGCTTCAAGCCCATCCCCTTGTGTGCACGAAGGCGGTGGAAGCTAAAGCGTGGCGGGTTCGTGAACTCCAGCAATCCACAGATGGGGTTTTTGGTGTCGAGCACCGGGTAAAATGGGCGTACTCGAATAGGCTGACCAGCGGGGCCACTGTGCTCAAATTCAACGCCTCTCAGGAGCAACCGTGCAGGGTAGCCAGGCAAGCCACTAGCGGCAACCAGTGCGCAAGCATCACAGAGTGGCGGCACACGGTTGACAGACCAATGCTGGTAAAATTCATAGGCCGTATCCTCGTCCTCTCGTTGCGGGTGTTGCGCCCCCCAAACGTGCAAGACCGTAGGTTTGGTAGAGAGCCTCCCAACTGATGAAGGTCTGGTGGAGCGATGCATGGAGCTCCAAGGCCGCAACAATGCCCCACCAATGGGAGGGAGCCGCAATGATCAGTGGACCCGTAGGCCTCGTGCTACCTGCCGTGAGCCTTTGGTGTGCATCCTCCCCCTTCATGGTGAACCTGCCGGCCTTGTCAACCAGGCAGATATCCACCGCCCCCGTGGTGCCGGCACACACTGTAGTGGTAAAGAGGTCAATGAACACTCCTAATTCATTTCTGTAACCGTAGAAGAACTCGAACAGGGATTTGGCTTGTGCCTCAGTTGTCAACAATCCCGGAGCGGGGAGATCGGGCAACCGTTGCGAAAGGAAGTCCGAGAATGACGTACCCTCATCAACCACCCGGTGCGCAGCGCCGGTATCTGCATTGGCGGGGCGTGGGTTGCTCAGTCCCAATCCATGTTTCAGGAGTTTAAAAACCCTGGTGGTTGGCGTGACGACGGTAATTTTCCGTCCGGCCTGCACTGCAATGCGATGACCGCATACATTGTAGGCCAGGACCAGGAGAACACAAAACCATTCAACCACCAGGCCTCTCTGAGCAATATCGGATGCTTGCCTGGGGAGCCTGACGAAGTAGACTCCCGATTGATAGGTGCCATCGGCCGCAATCCGCTGCGCCCGCCGCGCAGACGTGTCGGCCGCTAACTCCCCAATGGTGACCGGGCATGGTGAGGAGTTAGTTGCAGGGAGCAGAAGATTGGACTGCGGATATCGAATGGCAGTTATCAACAGGTAAAGATCCGCTAGCAGACGCGTAGAGTCGACGAAGACGAGGTTCAAGCATACGCCATTGATTGGCTCTAGCCGCTCTAGCCCTTCCGCTTGCAGAGCAGAATTAGCCGGTGCAAGTATTGCTCCG